ACTGTGATGTAAGGAGAGGACTCTGATGTAAGGGGGCACTGTGATGGGTACGATTGATGTAAAGTGGCACTCAGATGCAGACAGTTGATATAAGGGGGCAGTACGATGCAGACAGTTGAAGTAAAGTGTCACTCTGATGGGGACTCTGGCGTAAGATGGGACTCTTATATAGTCCTATAGACCTGCATTAGTCATCATTGGTGGGGACAAAACCAACTGAAAGTGACAAGCTGTTTTTTGGCTGCGGTAATGAAGCATGGCTTCGCAGCCATAGCATGTGTATAGCCATGAGCAACTGCATGTTACCATTCAGGCAGGTAGTAGGGGCAGTAAAACTGTGGCTCAGCCACCTGGCTGTACTGCCTGGCCACATGTGTGAATGAAGCCTTATTTTCACAAGAGAGAGGCTGCAGCTGCTCTTGGAACATACAGCAAGTCAAACACCTTCTGAAAAGCGATCTGCAGCAGATTGCTTTTCAAAGGAGCACTGAGGAAGGAAGTATAGAGGCTACCATTGTTGACCTTGCTTTCTGAACATACTAGTTACCATGTTTAAGTAAGGCTGACCCAATGGCTTCAGTGAAGGAGGTCAGCAATGACAGCCCCATTTGTAAAGTTTTTTTTTTTAGCTTTTATTACATTGTAACTGCTTTACTTTAATGAAGAATTGAAGGCACTTTTTTTTTTTTTCATTTTGGGTATAATAGTAGGGGGATATAAGCCCTGTCAGTTTTTTTGACATCTGTGTCCCATTGGGAGGGAATTTCCTTCACTTCCTGTCCCATAGCCACAACAGGAAGTGAGAGGAAATCCCTCCGAAGTGAGTGAAAGTATTGGCAGTCACCCTGGTCACCAGAACTAGTGTCCCCATTGGATGATTTCTCCTCTATTACTGTTCTGGTGACCACACAACATTTGAGATTTTCTATCTTTTTTACTGATAATGGCCACCAGGACAAATAGAGAAGGTAAATCTCCCTAATAGGGGCACAGAGAGCAATAAAAACTCGACAGGTGTTCTAATCTGCCTCCACTCTAAGACTACATAGAAGGTCTTGCCTTTAGTTATACTTAAAATGTTACTAAACCTACAACAGTAAAATCAGTCTATATATGCAGTACACCATGCTTGTTATACTCATTGTGGAACCTAAGGGGTTAATCCTCTGCATTGTGTAAAAAGGCTGTTTGATCCTGTCTTCTCTGATCATCCCCTTCTTCTACTGTCCCCAATCCATCTGCTGGCAGAACAGAGCCTTGGGGGCAAGCTGCACATGCTCAGTTTGATATGTATTGCGAGAGATTTTTTTTTTTCCTTGGGAGTGTGCAAGTGATCAGCACAGGGCCAATCAGCACTGTCCAGACAGAGGGTCAGGGGGTATGCAGCCTCATAGGAAAATCAGGAAAGAATGAAAACTCTTCCTACAAGCTTTAATCAGTGCTTGGCTGAACACTGATAGAAGTCACAAGACTGCTCTAACTGCTGATTAGAAAATGTATTTTAGCAGTTTATATTTACTAAAATAATTGCATTTCCATGTTCTGTGTACTGTGGGAGACCAGATATAGTGAATGCAGGGTCCGGGGAGACGAGATATAGTGAATGCAGGGTCCTGGAAGACCAGATATAGTGAATGCAGGGTCCTGGGAGACCAGATATAGTGAATGCAGGGTCCGGGGAGACCGGATATAGTGAATGCAGGGTCCTGGGAGACCAGATATAGTGAATGCAGGGTCCTGGGAAACCAGATATAGTGAATGCAGGGTCCTGGGAGACCAGATATAGTGAATGCAAGGTCCTGGGAGACCAGATATAGTGAATACAGGGTCCGGGGAGACCAGATATAGTGAATGCAGGGTCCAGGGAGACCGGATATAGTGAATACAGGGTCTGGGGAGACCGGATATAGTGAATGCAGGGTCCGGGGAGACCGGATATAGTGAATGCAGGGTCCGGGGAGACCGGATATAGTGAATGCAGGGTCCTGGGAGACCGGATATAGTGAATGCAGGGTCCGGGGAGACCGGATATAGTGAATGCAGGGTCCTGGGAGACCGGATATAGTGAATGCAGGGTCCTGGGAGACCAGATATAGTGAATGCAGGTTCCTGGGAGACCAGATATAGTGAATGCAGGGTCCGGGGTTTAGCAACACTTTAAATTTAGAAAATATGAGGTTCTTTTTTCTTGGAAAAACAATCTCAACCACTAGATGTCAGCAACATACCAGAAATCCCATACTTCTCATCATGGGGCATTGTTCAAACTTTATGAGCCATCCATTGTGGATGGGATGGCGCTGAACCAGCACTGGCATAGGATGTTCAGGATGTGCTTCTGCATTCAACACAGTGACAACAAGACATGTTTACAAAAGCCGCAAATGATCAGTTCTTTGGCCTTTTGCTGCCTTTTCACCATGAAATGCCCATCAAATGATCTGCTAATATAAAATGAATTATTTTCTGAAAATGTTGATTTTGGGATTTCCCTTTTCGAATAGCGGTTTATTTTATTCAAAGGCACACTTATGATTTTTGCAGAAGCCCTACACGCTTGTTCGCCGTTTGCTTCCTGCACCCAACACAGCAATGCTGTTATAGCACCCACGAGCAATAGGATGACCATCATCCTATTAACCCTTGGTTCACGCCTATGTGTTTTTTAGTGCATTTTGCAGAAATGCACCACAGTCCATTTAACATAGTTTCCTATGGATCTAGTTCACATCTGTGCGTTTTAAGTCGCTGCATTTTTTGGAGAGGGTCAGGGATTTTTTTTTCCCGCAGCAGATTGTGTTTTGCGTGTAGTAGACTTCAATGGACCAGCACCAAAAACGCAAGTGTTAAATTTTTTATGTGTTTTTTTTTTATGTGTTATGTGTTTTTTTGGCGAATAGGAAAGAATGATAGTTCTGTTCATGTAGTGCAACTTTTAAGTGACTTTGATGTGACTTTACACTCTCTGGCACTCAAGCAGCATCAAAGTCGTGCAGGAACCTTTATGTACCCAAAATTGCATGCTAGGGTCAGGGTGGGAGTTAGAGTTAAATGTTAGGGTTAAGGTGGGAGTTAGGGTGGGAGTTAGGGGGTTAAATGTTAGGGTCAGGGTGGGAGCAGGGGCGGACTGACCATTTGGAAACTCGGGCACTGTCCGAGGGCCCGGGGGGTCAGTAGGGGGCCCCATGAGATGCCCCTGGTACCTTTTTCATAGGCTTTTTTGAGTTTGGGCAAGGACACAGGGGCCCCATGATCCCTTATTGCCCGGGGGCCCCATGAGTAGTCAGTCCGCCCCTGGGTGGGAGTTAGAGTTAGGGTTTGGGTTAGCGGTAATTATTAGTGTTAAAATGCAAATTCTAACAACTGCCTCTAACCCTAATTCTAACCATTACAGCTAACCCTAGGCCTTAACCCTAACATGCAACTTTGGACACAAGGATTCCTGTACTACTTTGATGCGCCTTTCATGCTACTTTGATGCTACTTAAATGTCAGAAAGTGTAAAGTTGTATTAAAGCTGCACAGTTGCGGACTGACAACTCATGGGGCCCCCGGGCAATAGGGGATCATGGGGCCCCTGTGTCCTTGCCCAAACTCAAAAATGCCTATGAAAAAGGTACCAGGGGCATCTCATGGGGCTCCCTACTGACCCTGGGCCCTCGGGCAGTGCCCGAGTTTCCAAATGGTCAGTCCGCCCCTGAAGCTGCATAAACATTGCACTACATGAACAGAACTGTCATACCTTCCTATTAGTCCAGAAAAAAAAAAACCAGCATAAAAAATGCTTGTTCAAAAAAAACAAAACACACTGGAAAAATGTATCAACTGCAACCTGCATAGGTGTGAACCTAGCCTAAAACAAGATCACTGGCCATGTTCATTTTTTTTAATTGCTATGCCCATTAGCCTTCAAGGTATCGGCGAGAGCAAAAATGCAAGAAAATTCCAAATTTTGGGGTGTCACCAGAACAGGAATAGAGAGGAAATCATCCAATGGGGACATTAGTTTTAGTCACCCAGAGGACAACCAGGGATGCCTTCACTTTGAGATATTTCCTCTCAATTGCTGTTGCAACTATGGGACAGAAAGTGAAGGGAAATCTTCACAATGAGACACAAATGGCAAAAGGAAAACACATAAAAATAGCCAATTTGTTTGCTAAAGTATAATGTGATGTTGTATCGAGTAAATAGATACCAAATATGTCAAGATTTAAAATTGCGCATGCCCTTGAAACGGCAATGTTATCCATAGGTGAAGCGTTAAATGTTTTTAGAGATGATCATTTTAGAGATAATGGTGAATAATGGCCTGAACGTTATTGCTCTCATTCCAACATTCATGGCGATACCTAAGAGCTGTGGTGCAATCCCCGTTTACATATGTATCCTGTTTGGAAGATTTCATTTTACTTTTTTACTGGTCCTGGAGACAAAACAGGAAATGCAATGAAATCTCCCCACAATAAATAGAAAGTTGTAAACTTTTTGGATTTCCCTTCGCCTTCTGTCTTTGTGACAATGCACACCATTCATCAATGTTTATGGGCCCTACCATTGCTAGCAGAAGACATTAGACACCACAATATCAGGAACTTTAAACATCAGAGGACTCAAGTTGCAATCTCTATTTAAAGGGACTCTCTCTTTTTTAAGGCAATTGTTATTCAATTTAGGATACGTATATCTATTTATGTCTATTTATTTAGCAATAAAAAATTGTCGATCTAATGCCTTCCTATTCTCTGAAAAACTAAAGAAAAGAATGACTTTACAAACACTTTAACAATCTAACTATTGGAGCATGCACAATCCAGCGGGCAGATCATTAATGTCTATAAGCACATTATGCAAGTCTTGATTTTGAAGACACTACTATGAAAAAAAAAAATCTGTGTTTGCGCACCACAACCGCAAACCAAACAAGTAGCTTGCAGTTGCTGTGCGGTCCCGCAATGCAATGTTGCCATTCGGCAATTCAAAAAAATAACAGTAAATACCTTTTTTTAGCTCACAGATCCAGTCTGCTGGATGTTCGCAGTGCCTGTCGTTCCAGGACAGTCTGTAATCAGTGCTCAGCTCTCCGCACAGTTCCACGCCCTGGAAGTTGTTAGGTTCTCCATAAGCCCAGTTTTCATAAATTAGCTAAAAAGAAAAAAAAAACATCACTAATCATTCTGTTAGGCTATGTTCACACCTAAGAGTCATGTTTTCATGTTCGTGTTTTTGAGCATTTTTTCAGAGCAGAATTTTTTTTGCAGCTTTTGTCAGGTGCTTTTCAACTAGGCATTTTTTATGTGGCCAATGGAAAGTTTGCAGAGCTGCTGTTTGAGCTGAAAACGTGCAGCAAAAGCTAGAGAAAACACTTGTGTCGCACATTTCAGGCGTTTCCATTGAAGTCTTGGAGGACAAAAACACTCAATTCTGCCTTAAAAGTAGCTAATGTACTTTTTTGAGCGACAGGTGTTTTGCTGAAAGCGACAGAACGCTCAGGTGTGAACAAGGGCTATTGAAAACAGTAGGTTTTTGCTTGTTGAGTGTTTTTGAGATTCAACGCTCAAGTGTAAATGAGGCCTTAATATTTGGCCTGGGTGACAGGTTTTTTGATTGCTTTAGAGATGCTTCTCTGCCTAAAAGTCTCTGGGCATGCAAAAGCGGCTGGAGCAAGTCATGTGCAGCTCAGCTGCAATGAAGCCCCTCGAATTGCACTGCATTAGACCACCCAAATCTGGGTCCTTTGGGTTATTGCACAATAAAATCCATTTACAGCCTATAGGGTCAGCACAGTGGCTGAATGATAAATACTTCCGCCTGGCAGTACTAGGGTCGTTGGTTCAAATCCCAGCCATAGCACCACCTGCCTGGAGTTTGCATGTTCTCCCTGTGCCTGCGTGGGTTTCCTCTCGGGTACTCCGGTTTCCTCCTGTTGGTTATGTGTTAGAGAAGACACTGGTAGCTTGTGATGAGGCAGAACACTGTTTTACTTGTGTGGCTTAAGTTGCAAACATACAGAACACATTTCAGCAGACATCTTGGTTTTGAAGAGAGGAAGGAAGAGAGAGAACTAACATGTTTTACACACATGCACAACTAGTAACCTTAGTGTACAGTGCCATCTACTGGTCAAGTGATATTAACACACAATACTATATAGTACATGCTGTTGTATTCCCAACACCCCTTCTCAACGGCATGTGCATAATTATATGACATTTAGTCTCTTTTGTAGAAAACAATGACGTTCCCTTGGCAAAGGTTTGGTGAGTGCATCTGCAGTCATCTCCTCTGATGGGCAGTACTGGATGTCGATAACTAAAGCCACACAAGTAAAACAGTGTTCTGCCTCATCACAAGCTACCAGTGTCTTCTCTAACACATAACCAACACCTCCCACACTCCAAAAACATGCTGGTAGGTTAATTGGATCCTGTCTAAATTGACCCTAGTATGTGTATGTATGTATGAATGTAAGTTAGGGACCTTAGTTCAGGGGTGTCAAACTGGTGGCCCTCCAGCTGTTGCGAAACCACAAGTCCCATCATGCCTCTGCCTTAGGGAGTTATGCTTGTAACTGTCAATCTTGCAATGCTTCATGGGACTTGCAGTTTGGCAACAGCTGGAGGGCCGCCAGTTTGATACCTGTGCCTTAGATTGTACACACCTTGAGGGTTAGGGACAGGGGTGGACTGACAACTCATGGGGCCCCCGGGCAATAGGGGATCATGGGGCCCCTGTGTCCTTGCCCAAACTCAAAAAAGCCTATGAAAAAGGTACCAGGGGCATCTCATGGGGCCCCCTACTGACCCCAGGCCCTCGGGCAGTGCCCGAGTTTCCAAATGGTCAGTCCGCCCCTGGTTAGGGACTGATGTGAATGTACAATATATATGTAAAACACTGCGTAAATTGACAGCGCTATATAAGTACCTAAAATAAATAAATATTGCTGGCATAGTAATCTTTTTTGCTGTTATAGTAATATTTTTTTATTAAATCGTAAAGATAGTATAAAATTATTGAAGCCTTAGTACAGACATCAAGAATAAAGTCAATATAAAGGCTTATGTTGATTCAAAAAGTCTTTCACTGTGCCTCGAATGGCAGTTCATGGTCTTTCAATTGATTTTTTTAGACTATACTTTTCTTTTTTTTTGTTAACAGTTTCCTTTCTGCACATGTGTGAAATGATAAAGTCAAACATGAGATCTAAGAAACACACACAGAGTTACTTACAGCTGAACTGTCCGACCACTGAAAGCCTTCAATAGGATCGCTGCTCATTAGGCCTATCCAGAAGATGTGACGGTACATGCCGGCTTGCCTGAAAGATTACAAATGTTATACGTCTATGTAAACCTTGTCTGATTTTTCTTTATTTCCTTACTAATAAAAAAATCAATACTGCACTTCTACTACAGTGCCTAGAATACATTTGCAGAATTTAAAGATGGTTCCACTTTGAATCATTTCCCCCCTTCTATGGCACTACCTTCCGCTCATCACGACCCATTCAAGTGAATAGGGCAGCACTGCAAGGGCCCTGCAACTACGCGCAATGCACACTAGTGCGGGGGTCCTCTTCACTGCCTGTGAAATGCTCTCTGAAGAGCAATTCAAATGCAGATTGCTCTTCAGAAACCAAAGCTTGTGTGATTTACCCCTTAAGATTTTCATGTATCAAATGTATGAAGTGATAAAATAATGATCAAAATTGAAAATATTTGCTATAACTAAAATCATATAATAGATTACTACACAAAACATATTACTACTTACATTGTCATTGCAGACACCACCTGTTCTTCATCTTTACTATTCAGGCTGAGTAAATCTCCTCCTATTGCTCGACAAAAGTCCCGGGATTCCATCCATGACTTTTTCTCATCGTTCTCTTTTGTATAATACTGTGATGAGAAAAACAGATAAATACTGTATGGATAAGTAAATGGCTTACAGTGACAGCAGCTACTTGAAGGGTGTAGTGGGGGAGCTGAGATGATAAGTCACTGCTGGGAGGGGCACAGGGTGAGCTAAGCTTCTGAGTCACTGCTGGGAGGAGAAGCAGGGTGACCTGAGCTGGTGAATCACTGCTGGGAGGAGAAGCAGGGTGACCTGAGCTGGTGAATCACTGCTGGGAGGAGAAGCAGGGTGACCTGAGCTGGTGAATCACTGCTGGGAGGAGAAGCAGGATGACCTGAGCTAGTGAATGACTGCTGGGAGGAGAAGCAGGATGACCTGAGCTAGTGAATCACTGCTGGGAGGAGAAGCAGGATGACCTGAGCTGGTGAATCACTGCTGGGAGAAGGAGCAGGGTGACCTGAGCTGGTGAATCACTGCTGGGAGGAGAAGCAGGGTGACCTGAGCTGGTGAATCACTGCTGGGAGGAGAAGCAGGATGACCTGAGCTAGTGAATCACTGCTGGGAGGAGAAGCAGGATGACCTGAGCTGGTGAATCACTGCTGGGAGAAGGAGCAGGATGACCTGAGCTGGTGAATCACTGCTGGGAGGAGAAGCAGGATGACCTGAGCTAGTGAATCACTGCTGGGAGGAGAAGCAGGATGACCTGAGCTAGTGAATCACGGCTGGGAGGAGAAGCAGGATGACCTGAGCTGGTGAATCACTGCTGGGAGAAGGAGCAGGATGACCTGAGCTGGTGAATCACTACTGGGAGGAGAAATGCTGGGTCACTGTTGGAAGGTGGAACTAGACTGAGATGGAACTGTTAGGAGGGAAGCAGGAACACCTTTAGCTGCTGGGTCACTGCTAGTAGTTGGGGAGCTAAGATGCAGAGAAAATCTTTAGCGATTCTGCTCTGAACTTTAAGGATGAATTGCACCACAGTGCAGGCAGCTACATAGGTCAGAGGGCTTGTTTTAATGAACTTTTACTGTTTGTTAAGGATATGTAAACACATAAATGTCCATAGCCTGGCAACAGATTCACATTAAAATTATTTCTTTTTTCACAGGTTTTAATTGCATGTACAACGTTGGTAGCCCTATTTGTCTATTTCGTAGCAGTGGACAATGTCTGTAGCTTACTCTTTACTTTTTTTAAATGTCAACTGAGTTTCATTGAAAATAGAGACGGTACTGTGTGAACCTTCTCCAGGATCAGCCTGCACACAAACAACACACTTACCCTGCATGATGGCAACTTCCACACAAGTTGTTTAGCAAGGGTGCTCATAGTACGGACAGAAAGATGGGGGGGGTGTATAGGACTCACCCAACATATAGTCCCTAAAAGCCTCAAATTTCATCTGACTTTTAATTCAGGCTGGAGAATGAAATTTACCATCTGATTGCCTTTTAGCATTGTCAAAAATGTGCATCCCACTAATGTAAAATGTATAGTAATCTCGCTACTTACTTTGTAACAGGAGCTTATATGGGGGCTTGTCCTCCATCCCGTCGGGCATTTTGGCTCTGGCGTTGTTGTAGGGACTGGGGGTGGTGTCACTCCTTCTGCCCACTTCTTGCAGACAAACTTAGCCTTCTCATCACATTTAATGACATCCCACAATCCACCTTTGTTTCCAGTTCTCATCACAACACAACCTTGTTTTCTCCCTTCAAAGGTTTATTAAAAATAAATGTCAATACAATTTTAATCGGGAACCTTAATGCAGGTTCACACAACGCTGTGCTTTGTCCATGTAGTACAAAGTGACAGGTTTTCTTTAATTACATCAACCCTTCTCACCTTCATAGTTGCATATACTCACCTCTGCTTTGATCTCACACAATCTGTCAACTGATGGGTAAGTAGGGAATTGCAAGCACATGATTCGTTCCTCTTCTATACATGTGACAGTGCAGGTTCTTGGTGATTGGCCTTAGCAGTCCTCAGCCCTGTGTAAGCTCTGACTAAATCAAGAATACACAAGACTTCCTATTCTCCTCAGCTCCTAGCAGCTGAACAAAGCAGCAGGGGAGTGGAAGGAAAACGAGTACAGTATGTGCTGCTGGGGAACATTTGTTCAACTTTATTTTTATTTTTTTGTGATAGGTGGACTTCTGGAACTCCACATCACAAGTGAGATCAGAATTCTTATTACGAATACTTGTTTTAGGTCTTTGACTCGGCCCAAATTTACTAGAAACAAACAGCACAGGATGAGCCTTTACTACGAGAACAAAAAAAAGTACACTGAAACTATGGCTGCCACATGATCCCCATTTATAGTGAGAGGGCTGCCTTACCCATAAGGCTTTTCTACAGCCTGGCATACATGGATCAAAATGTAGCTTGTTCAGCGGGGATTTGCTAAATTTTTTTTTTTTTTAATTTAAATATTTATTGGTTTTTCACAGTAATAACAAAAACATTTTCATCTCAATCATAATAAATATACAATTATTTCTTATTACTTTATTTTTCCCCTCTTAAAACATTACCCCCTTCCCCTCCCCCAGAACCCCTCCCCACTCTGCATTTTTCACTATCTTTTTTCCAAAGCAAGCATATCCTCCCCATCTATCCATTCTATGACTTTCTACTTTTCACTTTCTCACATTTGCTACAAAGTTTTCCCATTTTTTTCCATTTCGCAGAATATACCTCCAACTTATCTTCCTGTATATAATATAACTTCTCTATTTTACTAATCCAGATTACTCTTTCTATCCACTCCTCCTCTTTCGGTATTTCGTTTTTCTTCCAATACTTAGGGATCAGGCTTTTTGCCGCGTTCAAATAGTACCCTAAACCTAATTTCTTGTATTTGCTAACTGATAGCTCTGAACTATGTAACAGGCACATTCCTGGATCTAACCCGATGTTCATTTCAATAATGATCTCTATTAAATGTACTATTGTTTTCCAGAATATTTGAATTTTTGGACATTCCCACCAGATATGATACACTGTCCCCACTTCCCCACATTCTCGCCAACACCACTGTGATTTCTCCCCACTTATCTTACATTCTACACTCGGAACAATGTGACAATCTTGTCAAACATTTATAATTTGTTTCTACGACCCTCAAACTAACATTTTCGTGAACTAATCTGTTTATTTTTTTCTGTTTTTCTTCATCTAATACCACCCCCATATCTCTTTCCCATTTCACTATGTGCATTGGTTTAGTGTTTGTGTCTAATTCTGTGAGGATTCTATATATTTTAGCTGTTCCGTGTTTCCTATCCCCCCCGTGCATCCAACAACCTTTCAAACAAATTCCAGTCCTTTTTCATTCTCAGGGGTTTTGGGAGATTTCCCCAAAAACAATTTAATTGGTGATAATGCCACTCGTCTAACCTAGTGAAAATATTTCCCTTTTCCTTTTCCAGCTCTTTAAAGGTCTTCAATTTCCCTTCCCTCATTATATCTCTAAGTTGGACATCTTCCTTTATAAACCATCTACCTGTTATCTCTTCTCTACCTGGGGGAAAAAATTCTGTATTTCTTAGTGGCATTAGTATAGAATTAAATTCCCATTTCATATATTTGTGTATTTTATCCCATTCCCTTAACACATTTATAGTGTACAAACTTAATTCCTCCTTCAATCCTCTATATTGTGCCGGTAACCATATAATTCTATTCAAATTAGTTCCACTAAGTGAATTTTAAATTTTTACCCAACTTTTCCCCTCTAAATTGAACGTCCTGTCAAAAATTCTCCCTAATATTACTGCTTTGTAATATCTCTTAATATCTGGAACTCCCAGAACGCCCTTCCCTTTATCTCTACTTAGTATTTCATGGGACACCCTCGGTTTTTTATTTCTCCAGATATATCTTGTTATCATTCTTTTTATTACTTTAAAAAAGGCTTCCGGGAGTTTAATTGGGATCATTTGAAATCTATATCAAACGATTATCATTTTTACCAGGTTTATACATCCTAACCATGATGGAATTCCTCTTTCTAAAGTTTTTAATTCCCCCTTCACTTCATTTAATAATGAAATATAGTTTAGTTTATACAAGTTCTTATACACCGCACTAAGCCTTACTCCCAAATATTTTATATCTCTTTCTTTCCAAATGAAGGGAAAATCTTTTTGTATTTTCTCTTTTTCGCTTTTTGGGATATTTATATTTAAGATCTCAGTTTTTGTTGGGTTGATTTTTAAATTTGATAGTTCCCCATATTCCTTCAGCAATTTCATTAAGTTTGCCAGTGTTATCCTGGGATTCCCCACATAAAACAGCAGATCATCAGCAAAGGCCGCCACTTTATGCTCTACGTCTCCTATCTGAATTCCCCTTATATCTCCATTCTTCCTTATTGTTGACAGAAGAGGCTCTAGTGAGGATTTGCTGAATTTTGATCCATGTATGAGCAGGGAAGTTGTCCAGAAGTTGATCTAGCGATCCATTTCTATACAATCGCCCAGTTGGATTTTCCCTGCTGGTCAATGTACAGCCCTGGTCAAAAGTTTTGAGAATGCCATATATATTAATTTTCACAAAGTCTGCTGCTTCAGTGTTTTTAGATCTTTTTGTCACGTTACTATGGTATACTGAAGTATAATTACAAGTATGTCAAAGGCTTTTATTGACTATTACATTACGTTTATGCAAAGAGTCAATATTTGCAGTGCTGATTCTTCTTTTTCAAGAGCTCTGCAATTCGCCCTGGCTTGATGTCAATCAACTTCTGGGCCACATCTTGACTGATGGCAGCCCATTTTTGCATAATCAGTTCTTGGAGTTTGTCAGAATTTGTGGGGTTTTTTTGTTCACCGCCTCTTGAGGATTGACAACAAATTCACAATGGGATTAAGGAGTTTCCTGGCCATGGACCCAAAATTTTGATGTTCCCAAGCCACTTAGTTATCACTTTTGCTTTACGGCAAGGTGTTCCATCATGCTGGAAAAGGCATTGTTCATCACCAAACTGTTTTTAGATGGTTGGGAGAAGTTGCTCTTGGAGGATGTTTTTGTACCATTCTTTATTCCTGGCTGTGTTCTTAGGCGAAATTGTGAGAGAGCCAACTGCCTTGGCTGAGAAGCAACACCACACATGAATGGTCTCAGGATGCTTTACTGATGGCATGACACAGGACTGATGGTAATGCTTACCTTTTCTTCTCCAGAGAAAGTTTTTTTCCGGATGCTCCAAAACAACAGAAAGGGGATTCATCAGAGAAAATGACTTTACTCCAGTCCTCAGCAGTCCAATCACTGTACCTTTTTCAGAATATCAGTCTGTCCCTGATGTTTTTCCTGGGGATAAGTGGCTTCTTTGCTGCCCTTCTTGACACCAGGCTATCCTCCAAAAGTCTTCGCCTCACTGTGTGCAGATGCACTCACACCTTCCTGCTGCCATTCCTGAGCAAGCTCTGCACTGGTGGTGCCCCGATCCCACAGCTGAATCAACTTTAGGAGACGGTCCTAGTGCTTGCTGGAATTTCTGTGGTGCCCTGAAGCCTTTTTCACAACAATTGAACCTCTCTTTGAAGTTCTTGATGATCCAATAAATGGTTGACTTAGGTGCAATCTTAGTAGCAGCAATATCCTTGCCTGTGAATCCCTTTTTGCGCAGAGCAATGAGGACTGAATGTGTTTCCTTGCAGGTAAACAATTATTTGTGTCATTCTCAAAACTTTTGACCAGGGCTGTATTCTGACAGCAGGGAGGTCAGCATACAATAGCTCAGTGGGGAGTATTCCCCCATCCACACCAAGTGTGTGGATGAGGGAATTATGATTCATCTATGGTGAGCCTAAGCTTGCTGGCCATAGTTCAATGGTTTAAAAACAAGATCTTCACAAATCTCGAATCCTCAGGCTTTGCCTCAAACCCATGGTGGCAGTGAACCTGTACCTCTCCCCTAACTGGGAGCCATTTAGTTTTCTTAAGAACTGTGTGTTATAAACATACATTGTGTTTTTTTTTATGTCCTTGTTTAGAAAGCTTTTTATTTTTTTTTGCATGCTATTGCTGCTGATCTCCTCTAGCCTTTTTCAGCCACTTCCTGTCCACATGCACTCACTCCATTGATGGAGGCACATGATTGTTCTAGACTAGTTTATTTAATGTGATAATAACAGAACGTGCCTTCTCCACGAGTTTTACCCCAGCAGCCTGTAAGCGCCAACCTCTCCACAATGCAAGAGAGCAATTGATAAACAAACAAAAATTGCTTAAATCATGAAGTGCCTGAGCAAGAACCCTAAAGGCAGGATTATTAGGTATTAGTTTAACCCCTTACCCTCCAGAGGATTTACCCCCCTTCCTGACCAGGCCATTTTTTGCGATATGGCGCTGAGTTATATTAACTGACAATTGTGCGGCCATGCAACGTTGTACATGAATGAAATTTATGTCCTTTTTTCCCACAAATAGAGCTCTCTTTCGGTGGTGTTTGATCACCTGTGCATTTTTGTTTGCACTATAAAAAAAATAATATTTTTGACTTTTTGCTATAAAACATATCCAGTAAAAAAAAATTGAAAAAAAATCAAAATTCGTCAAAAAAATGTAGGCCAAAATGTATTCTGCTACATGTCTTTGCTAAAAAATAAATCCCAATACATGTAAATTAATTGGTTTACGTGAAAGATATAGTGTCTACAAATGGCGGTGTATATACTGGAGTTTTTATTTTTTTATACTAGTAATGGCAGCAATCGGAGACTTTTAGTGGGACTGCAGCGGGCATTCTGACACTGGGGGGGACTGACTAACTGCCACTGACATCCCCAGTGACACCAATACAGTGATCAGTGCTTTTCTTTTTTTACACTGATTGCTTTTACACCCATAAAGGCTGTAAAAGCAATAATTTCTCCTCTCTGGCTGCATTCTTGCAGCCATTGAGAAATACTGTGAGAGTTGTGAATAGCCTTGTACCATGTAATCTCTGTGATCATTCACAGACTTCACACGTAGTAAGCAATGATGTCAGGAAGTGACATCTTGTTTACTACTGTTCCTGTGATCACTGATTGGCCAATCAGTGATCACATGAATTGGGACCTCACACAGAGGTCCTGTACAGCAATCGGCATCCCAGGGAGCGAGCACAGGCAGTGAATGTGGAGGCCGTTTATAAACGGCCACCCGCTGCTGCACTGTTCCTGTCCGGCCGTTTATGTACATGAGCCAAATGGGAAGTGGTTACAATACTTCATTTTCTATGTTTTTACCTGCAAATTTTTTAAGTTGGTTGCAGGGTCTGTTTAACCACCTCCCGCCCGCCATATAGTCCAATGATGGACGCAAGGTGGTTCTCTCGTTCTGGGGGGACGTGATTTGACGTCCTCTTGTTCTCACCGTGCATACGCGGCTCAGGAAGCGCACAGCGCGGCGATCGGTGGTGCGCTGTGTCCCTCGGACCCAGCGGATCATTGATCTATGGAAAGAGCTGAAGATGTCGGCTCGGTCATGTGATCAGCTGTGTCCAATCACAGCTGATCACATGTAAACAGGGAAATGCCAGTTATCGGCATTTCTCTCCTCACGAGCGGTCACGCTGATAGCTCGAGAGGAGAGCCAGTAATCGGCATTCCGCGGTGGGGACATGTACACTGAACATCAGGGCACTGATGATCAGTGTGGCCCCAGAAGTGCCACCTCTCAGTGTCCGCCAGTGCCCATCAGTGCCACATCAATGCCACAGATCAGTGCCTACCAGTGCACATCAATGCCACAGATCAGTGCCAATCTGAGCTGTCTTTCAGTGTCACCCATCAGTGCCGCCAATCAGTGCCACCTATCAGTGCTGCCAATCAGTGCCGCCTATCAGTGTGCATCAGTGCCGCCTGTCAGTGCCGCCTATCAGTGTCATATATCAGTGCTGCTTTTCAGTGCCCATCAGTGCCACCTACTAGTGCCTCCTCATCAGTGCCACCTATCAGTGCCCATCACTGCAGCCTCATTAGCGCACATCAGTGAAGGAGAAAAATCACTTATTTACAAAATTTTACCACAAGAACTAAGAAAAAACATTTTTTCAAAATTTTCAGCGGTTTTTGGTTTGTTTAAGAAAAAATAAAAAACCCAGAGGTGATTAAATACCACCAAAATAAAGCTCTGTCACAAAAAAATGATACAAATTTCATATAGGTACAGTGTTGCATGACTCTCCGCAATTGTCATTCAAAGTGTGACAGCGCGGAGAGCTGGAAATTGGCCTGGGCAGGAAGGGGGTATAAGTGCCCTGTAGGCTCGTGGTTTATGAAAGCAGATAAAAAAGATTGAAAATTACTTATTTATTTATTACAGGTACATAGTGCTGTCAATTTACTCAGCACTTTACATACCGTATATATTGTACATTCACATCAGTCCCTAACCCTCAAGGGGTGTACAATCTAAGGTCCCTAACTCACATTCATGCATACACATACTAGGGCCAATTTAGACAGGAGCCAATTAATCTACCAGCATGTTTTTTGAGTGTGGGATGAAACCGGAGTAGCCGGAGGAAACCCACGCAGGAACAGGGAGAACATGCAAACTCCATGCAGGGGGTGCCATGGTTGGGATTCAAACCGACAACCCTAGTACTGCCAGGCAGATGTGCTAACCATTTAGCCACTTACTTATGAAATTACATGATTATGTTAAATATTAAATAATATTTTGATGATTGGGTTTGAATTTTGCATACAACCCCCAGTGCAGTTCAGCCTCTTGTTGGTCAGCCATTTAGGAAATTATTATTGACCCAGATAACAGCAGACCTGAGTGACTTACCAGGCATTTCAGCATTCCAGTGACTGTATAAAACCCTCTCATTGTTGGTCCATTTAAAAGTCCCCCTTTCTTCCATGTCGGAGAGTCCCGTCCAGAAATATTTCTCTGGTCTAAGCCCGATCAGACTTGTTAGATAAGCCTGTTCAAATCTGCAAATGTCAAAAAGTCAAAATCATGCCATACGATTATCAAGATTCCTTACCTAAAAAGCCCAATTGAACATCAATGTTTTATTAATGGGATGCAGTCAGGCTGCCTAAAAATGAAAGCAGTGTTAAACCCAAACACAAAAATGTAATATATTGCAGCTAACCAATCCCGAAATGTGGTGGCTGCATTCATTTTAATTTTTAGGATTTCTTTCTTTTATTTTCACCTGCTGATCCAGCTAGAAAGTCTGTTTTTCAGCAGAAAAGCTTGTTCTGCAGATGTGTCAGTTAGAGGGTTAAGACAAACCAATTTTTATTCCTTTATTATCACCTAGTGATCCGGCCAATAACACACTTCCTGTATTTGGGTGTTTCCACTCTGTCTGGAGGAGCAATGGAGTCACCCTTGGACAACATCATTGTCAGTCTGGGGAGAAGGTAGTGTTAGTCAAGTCTATCTAGATCTGCTAGTGTTTCTAACAAATTAAAAGCAAACCTCAAATAACACTTTAAAGAAGATACAGCAAAAAGTTTTTTTTCCCTTTTGAGATAAAAACATTTATATAATGAATACAAGCTGATCAATGTAAGCACCCCTGTCAGTGTTAAATGGTTTGTCTCAACCCTCCACTTTCTACATTTACTGAACAGCTTGGTCTATTAAAGGGCACTGACAAATAACAGACTTACTGGTAGGATCAACAGGTACGAATAAAGGAAAAAGAAAAGTAATGTGACTATCACATCTAAGAATTGGTAAGTTGCAATATTTGAAATATTTGTTTTTGTCTGCAAGTTCTGATCTGTAAGTTCTGGTGGGGCAGGGCATATAATATAAGAATTCAATAGAACAGCAGGGAAGATTGCCACACCAAGGTCACTTGTGTTGGTATGGCGATTTGTCAGCTTTTTTTAATCCAACCCACTGGGTTGAATGAAAAAAAAAAAAAAAAAAAAGTAAGTGTATAACCAGCTTAAGTCTAGGTTCACACCTATGCATGTTACCATTGAGCCCTTTCTGCATTGCGTTTTGCGCTTTTGCACTTGCATTTTTATTGCATTTTTAATGCTTTTGCAATTTCTTTTAATTTTTTTACATTTTTGCTGTAGCTAGGCAGATTTAACCATCTCCCGTCCGGCCATTGTACATAAACGGCCGGACGGTGGCAGTGCAGGGTCGGGTGGCCGTTTATAAACGGCCTCCCCGCACCCTGCTTGTGCGTGCTCCCTGGGAGCGCGCAGCACCGTGATCTTTCGGACACAGTGGAACACCGATCATCGGACGAGACCTCTGTACGAGGTCCTGATCATGTGATCACTGATTGGCCAATCAGTGATCACATGCAGAGTAGTAAGCAAGATGTCACTTTTGACATCATTGCTTACTATGTGTGAAATCTGTGAATGATCACAGAGGGTACAAGGCTATTCACAACAGCCTTGTACCATGTGACAAGCTGTGACCAATCAGTTCGCAAGAATGCAGCTAGAGAGAAGGAGAAATTATTGCTTTTACAGCCTTTATGGGTGTAAAAGCAATCAGTGTAAAAAAAAAAAAAAAAAATCTTCATCACCCCCCACAAGTAGTACAGTGTCAGCATGGTGACACTGTACTGCTAGGGTGGCAGTATAAAAAATAATAAAAAAAAAATGTAAAAATAAAAAAGTTTAAAAATTATAATTTTTGGTTATAAACTAATTTGGGTTTTTTTTTTACTAAAAATATAACGAAATAAACTTTGGCCAAGATTTATAATGAAATACTATTTATTTGCAAAATTGTATAAGAAAAACACTTTTTTAAAACTTTTTGGACTTTTTAATTTACATAGCAAAACAAATAAAAATACCAGTGGTGAATAAATACCACCAAGATAAATCTTTATCTGTCTCACAAAAATGCTAAAAAATTCATATGGGTACAGTGTTGCATGACCGAGCAATTGTCATTCAAAGTGTGATAGCGCTGAAAACTGAAAATTGGCCTGGGCAGGAAGGGGGTAAAAGTGTCCAGACTGGAAGTGGTTAAAATGCAAAATGCATTGAAAACGCAGCAAAAACATACATACATACATGCTTCCATTGAAGTATATAGAAACAAAACCACAACTTTTTGCATTCAAAAAACTCCCTGACCCTTTCCAAAAAATGCAAAAACGCACAGGTGTGAACATGTCCCATAGGAAATCATGTTAAATAGACTGTTCTATGTTTCTGCAAAACGCGTATGATAGTACTGTGTATGTTAACACATGATTTACCACATCCTACCCCAAAGAAAAAGTGTGACTTGGCCCTTAGTGATGTCTACTACAATTTTATATCTACATTGTATGGAACTCAAGGCTGAAGCTTTACAGATTTCTGTTATCTTCTTGCTTCCTTTCTATCCATTTCCTACTGAGTCAATGACTCCAAAGTTTCCCTGAAAGCCTCTGATAACCTGTCATTCTTCTTATCGGCTTGTCTTTCGTCAAGGCAGCTGTCTCCAGGAAGCTTGGACAACCAGATGCAATTCAGCAGTTCTGACATTACTGATAAGACTTTGTTGTAAATCCATACTAGCTGAGGTTTGCAGAATGTAAAGGAGGCTCTAAGGTCAAGAATTTTAATACATCCCGGAAAATGGTCCATCTTATGACATTCGGAAATATATGACTAGTAGCAGGACATGCTTCCCAAACACTAACTCAGGTTTTTAGAGTGACTGCTGGCAGACATTTGTGTGGATCTCCACCACACCACCATATCCATGTGTGACGTACACTCACTGGCCACTTCATTAGGTACACGTGTTCAATTACTTGGTAACACCAATTGCTAATCAGCCAATCACATGGCAAAAACTCAATGCATTTAGGCATCTAGACGTTGTGGACACAACTTGCTGAAGTTCAAAGCTGAGTATTTCAGAAACTGCTGATCTACTGGGATTTTCACGCACAACCATGTCTAGGGTTTACAGAGAATGGTCCGAAAAAGAGAAAATATCCAGTGAGAGGCAGCTGTGTTGACGAAAATGCCTTGTTGAGGTCAGAGGAGAAAGGGTTCGAGATAATAGAAAGGCAACAGTAACTCAAATAACCACTCCTTACAAGAAAGGTATGCAGATTACCATCTCTGAATGCACAACACATCAAACCTTAAAGCAGATGGGCTACAGAAGCAGAAGACCACACCAGTTGCCACTCCTGTCAGTTAAGAACGGTTAACGGAGGCTACAATTCGCACAGGCTTACCAAAATTGGACAATAGAAGATTGGAAAAACGTTGCCTGGTCTGATGAGTCTCGACCTCCCTAGAGATGGTTGTACGTGAAAATCCCAGTAGGTCAGCAGTTACCAAGTAATTGAACAGGTGTATCTAATAAAGTGGCCGGTGAGGGTATGTGCCAAAATGCAGAAGATATTGGCTTTCATCCAAGACATTCAGCACTGCTTGAAACTTGTTGGTAGCCTGCAAAAGTTTCTCTAAAGAAGGGTTCTCCAAACTTTCTAACTAAGGGCCAGTTTACTATTCTTCATACTTTAGGGGGGCCAGACTAGGGCCAATGGGAGTAGAAAATGTCCTGGTGTCAGTGGGCATAAACTATGCCCTATGTTTGGTATTAGGGGGAGGAATGTTGCCCCACTGTTGTGTCAGTGGAAGGAATAGTGCCCCATCATTGGTGTCAGTGGGAGGAATAGTGCCCCATCACTGGTGTCAGTAGGAGGAATGTTGCCCCATTGTTGGAGTCTGAAGAAGGAATAGTGCCCCATCACTGGTGTCAGTAGGAGGAATGTTGCCCCATTGTTGGAGTCTGAAGAAGGAATAGTGCCCCAAGGGCCAGATAAGGGAGAACAGAGAGCCACACCCGGTCTCCGGGCTGGAAACCACTACTTTACAGCAATTCTTTCACAAAATCTAAACTGCTCAAAAAGAATTACCTGCAAAAAAGAAAAGTAAATACCTCTCTTCCTCCTCACACTGCTGATGAACACCCTTTGTAGAGGAATCCCCCCCCCCCCCAAAAGTCTGCTGGGTTTCAAACTCCTGGGTCCCCCACAGAGCTCAGTGGTTCCTCCTGTTGACTTCCACATCACTGTAGGACACAGAAGTGATATTGAGGCTGGCAGGAGCAATATTTGGTAGCACAGGCCACAGGAGATGTATTTACGCTCTTTTTCTGCAGGCAACTCTTATTGACCAGTTCATTTTTTTGTGACAGGGTCACTTTAAAGCTATAGCCAGCATTTCCATTAGGATCTGCATTAGCACTCACAGAATGGATCCGAAATGTGCTTGAAAGAAGAAATTTTCACAAAACGTTATAAATGCAGGGGCGGACTGACCATTTGGAAACTCTGGCACTGCCCGAGGGCCTGGGGTCAGTAGGGGGCCCCATTAGATGCCCCTGGTATCTTTTTCATAGGCTTTTTTGAGTTTGGCCCCATGATCACCTATTGCCCGGGGGGCCCCATGAGTTGTCAGTCCGCCCCTGTATAAATGTATATTTAATCCCATTGCAAAGCAGCATGATTGGAAAGTTTGCCTCCTTCCCCATCTGACCATGCTGCTAGAAAGGAGACAGATTTGTTATTGACAGTACTGGCAGCAGGGGCGCTCTGGAGACCAGAACCGCATTTATAAAAGATCTCAGCCTGCGGCGCTGTGTGATCTATTTATGGCTACTTGTAAACATACACAGCACCACAGATGGATCACACAGAGCCGCAGCACTACGTCATCTGTCACGATTATGAATGAACCGGCAGCTCTGCGGGGTTGTGTCATACATGGCACTGGCCCGACATTGCTGATCGTTCAGCGCTCTGCCACTCTGTGATCCATCTGCTGGGGCTCTGTATGTTTACAAGCATCTGCAGATTTCTCAGTGATATCTTATTATTAGAAATGAGCAATCAGCACTGACTCTTTATTTACAATAGGAAAAGATCTACTAGCGCAGCTGCTTGTAAACATACAGCCCCGGCAGATAGATTACACAGCCCTGCAGCACTGAGCGAACTTTTTCTTATATGAATGAACGAGTAGAACAGATTGTTCATTCAAAGGAGTAAAAGAACAGTCAGCTTAGAAAGGGGGGTAGGAGCTCAGTGTTGGCTGTATCTTCTCCCCCCTAGAAACACCCATTAATTAGGCTTCAGAATGGGGTAGAGCTTTTGGTAGGGCAAAATAGATGCTTTTAACTACTTAACCCAGAAGCCACTTTTGACATTTCTTTTCTATATGTAAAAATCATATTTTTTTTTGTTAGAACTTTACTTAGAACCCCCAAATATATATTTTTGAACCACTTCAATACCGGGCACTTTTACCCCTTTCCTGCCCAGGCCAATTTTCAGGTTTCAGCGCTCTCACATTTTGAATGACAATTGCACGGTCATGCAATGCTGTACCCAAACTAAAATTTTATCATTTTGTTCACACAACTAGAGCTTTCTTTTTGTGGTATTTAATCACCACTGGGGTTTTTATTTTTTGCAAAATTAACGAAAAAATACCAAAAATGTTGACAAAAAACCCACATTTTTCTTTGTTTCTGTTATAAAAGTTTGCAAATAAATAATTGTTCTTCATAAATTTAGGCCAAGATGTATTCTGCTACATTTCTTTGGTATAAATAACCCGAATCAGTGTTTATTATTTAGTCTGTAGGAAAGTTATAGAGTTCACAAAACTCAAATGGGATATATCTGAAAATTGATCAATCCTGAAATACTGACGGCCAATATAATTTCTTGAGGCCCAAAAATGTCAGAACAGTACAGATATCCCCCAAATGACCCCTTTCTGCAAAGTAGTCTGACTTATTTCATAAGAGACATGGTGAGTTTTTTTGAAGTTGTAATTTTTTTGTCATAATGTTTCGGAAAATGAAGAAATTAAAAAAAATGTTTTGACAAATTGTTTTTTTTACATCCTGTCACCAGTGCAGTACAGCATCATCATATAACTGGTGTGGTGGTGATCAGGGACACTGACTGGTGACAGTGTGAAAAAAAAAAAATTGATAATTTTTTTTTTAATGTTTTAATTATTTTTTTTATTTTTTATTACCTTTTTTTTCTCTTTTTTTAAAGATTTTTTTTTCATATTACACTATGCCAAAAGTAGTATAATGTTACAATAGTAACATTGTACTACTTTGGGGAAGTGATCAGTTTTTTTTGTTTTTCTTTTTTACACAATTTGATTGCTATAAGCAAGCATTTAACGGAATGAAATCGATTCATTCAGGTTTTTTTTTGTTGTGCTTAGCTGTGATTGGCCACGGCTAATCACATGACACAGATGGGCTGTGATTGGCCTAGCCTGTGCATGTGATCACTGTGACCATTCACAGCTAGACACACTTGTATACAATGGATGGCATGAAAGGAAGCAATCCATTGTATACAACTGTCATGTGGCCTGCTGTGATTGATCACATGGTACTGGCAACCGGGTCGGTACACAGATCTGTCATCGGCCGTGTCCGAGGTACACAGCTGGTGACAGATCTCGCCTTCAGCGCAGCCCTGCGGGCAAGCACAATGCGCGCTTCGGGAAGGATGTCCTAGAGGGACGAGAGGCTTGCCCGGCCATCATATTACTATAGGCCGGGCAGGAAGTAGTTAAGCAGAGGCTCTAGAGAATAAAATGGTAGGTGGTGTAATTTTTTTTTATGTCGCACGGTATTTGCGCAGAAGTTTTACAAATTCAATTTTCTTGGAAAAAATACACTTTAATGAATTTTAATGCATAAAAACACAATAGCATACCCAATTGTTTGGAAAATTATGCTACGTCCAGTGTGACGCTTTAAAATTGCATATGACCGTGGAATGGCGACTAGCTACAGTACTTAAAAATCTCTGTAGGAAACACTTTAAAAGCCTTTATAGGTACCACAAGAGGTCTGTTGCTAGAATTATTGCTCTCTCTATGACATTCAGGGTGATACCTCACATGTGTGGTGCGGCGGGTACATCCTAGGGGTGGGATGTATTCAATCTGCAATGTGACCACCAATCAGAACAGGATCAAGTGTTATATGATATATATGGTACCTGTCTTCAATGGTCATCAAATAAGCTGCATTGGTATTGCAAGTAGTGTTGGCTTCTGGAAACGTGGATGCTGTTTCCCCTATGAAGTAGCAGTAATAGCCATGTCTTTTCCATCCCTGCAAACATGAGAATACGATCACTAAAAACAAAAAAGTCGTTGCCTGCTCATACAATTATGCAGAGGAGATTTATATTTGTACAATACATTTAGGAAAAAAAAACAGAATGGGCTAAAAATATTCCACTAAAGTAGATGAACAATATAGTCATTTACCCTTTAAATATAGAAAAACAATTGAGTACTGTCCGTGATACTTTTTTTATTTGCACTAACATACAATTTTGAGGACAAGCTTTTGGGGTATGTCCCCTTCTTCAAAGTCCAAACAGTACTATTACAAATCACAAAGTTTAAGCAGAATGTTAGAAGGGATTGAGAAGAAAAAAAAAAAAAAAAAAAAAGGCTACAGATAAGATACATCAAGAGCGAGGTGGGGAGGGGGGGGGGTACTACACTCACACAGAGGGGGTCATGCTTCAGCTAATAGTCATCTATTAGCATTTTATTAACCCCCCCTCTCCAAAAAAAAAATTCCCCCCCCCCATTTTTTTTCTGGTCAAGAAAAGTCCAAAAACGCCAGTTTGAGGCATTCTACTGTGTTTTACCGTGTTTTGACATGTTTTTCAGCATTAGAGCGGTTTTACAGCTAAGAAACTCCTCTAAAAACCCACTGTCCTGGGTTTTTTTTTCCAGCCAAAAAACGTCCCAGCCAAAAAACATTGATTACAGTCTATATGTGCATAGGATAACATGCTGGGGGGTTTATTAGCTGTAGAAAAAAACACCAAAATCCAAAAACAGCCGCTGTAAAAAACGTCCAGTGTGCATGAGGACTCTTAGTAAAATTATTCTGTCTTTTCAAGTGCGATTCCAGGAGCCCCTCCGGTGCGATTCCGCTGTGGTTCAGCTTGGATAGCATTACGTTTTGCATCTCAATATTGTTACTTTTAATTTTTGTCGTTCTTTTTTTTGTCTTTGTTTCTAACTTCCCACTCAAAATTGTTGCTGTAAGATTGCTGTATTGTAACAATCTTGTCTATTCAGTAACACTAGGGATCCTCTTTTTAATTTTAGTTTGGTTTATTTTGCAGTCCCTTCTCCCCCTGTTTTCTTCACGTAGTTAGTCAGGTTCACACCAGATGCTTTCCAGTGCATTTTTAAACCACATTCAGGCTGCATGCACAGCCATTGCCATGTATTCCAATGGCCCTAGTTCACAACATTGTGGTCAGTTCCAGCGCTTTGCAGTTGTAACCTGCTGCATTTTTTTTTTCATCTGGAATATATCAGAACTCATGATTTTTGAAGTGTCAAAATAGAAAAAGAGGAAAAAATGCACTGGACTGCATTGAAAGTGTATCAAACATGTGCCAAAAACACATCACATACGTGTGTAGCTGCATATTCAAAAATGCATCTAGAACACTGAAACTGCGGTGTTATTAGTAACACCTCATCTGGAATATGCAGTTCAGTTTTGGGCACCAATTCACAAACAGAACATTGGGGAACTGGAGAAAGTACAGAGAAGGGCAACCAAACTGATAAGAGGCATGGAGGAGCTCAGCTATGAGGAAAGATTAGAGGAACTGAATTTATTCTCTCTTGAGAAAATGAGATTAAGGGGGGATATGATCACCATGTATAATACATAAGGGGGGATATGATCTCCATGTATAATGCATAAGGGGGGGATATGATCACCATGTATAATACATAAGGGGGGATATGATCTCCATGTATAATACATAAGGGGGATATGATCACCATGTATAATACATAAGGGGGATATGTTCTCACCATGTATAATACATAATGGGGGATATGTTCACCATGTATAATACATAATGGGGATATGATCACCATGTATAATACATAAGGGGGGATATGATCTCCATGTATAATACATAAGGGGGGATATGATCACCATGTATAATACATAAGGGGGGATATGATCTCCATGTATAATACATAAGGGGGATATGATCACCATGTATAATACATAAGGGGGGATATGATCTCCATGTATAATACATAAGGGGGATATGATCACCATGTATAATACATAAGGGGGATATGATCTCCATGTATAATACATAAGGGGGGATATGATCTCCATGTATAATACATAAGGGGGGATATGTTCTCCATGTATAATACATAAGGGGGGATATGATCTCTATGTATAATACATAAGGGGGATATGATCTCCATGTATAATACATAAGGGGGGATATGATCAACATGTATAATACATAAAGGGGGATATGATCTCCATGTATAATACATAAGGGGGATATGATCGCCATGTATAATACATAAGGGGGGATATGATCTCCATGTATAATACATAAGGGGGGATATGATCTCCATGTATAATACATAAGGGGGATATGATCTCCATGTATAATACATAAGGGGGATATGATCTCCATGTATAATACATAAGGGGGGATATGATCAACATGTATAATACACAGGGGCAGACTGACCATTTGGGAACTTGGGCACTGCCTGAGGGCCTGGGGTCAGTAGGGGGCCCCATGAGATGCCCCTGGTACCTTTTCATAAGCTTTTTTGGGTGTGGTTTAAGTGTGGGCGAGGACACAGGGGCCCATGATCCCCTATTGCCCGGGGCCCCATGAGTTGTCAGTCCGCCACCTGATAATACATAAGGGGGGGATATGATCTCCATGTATAATACATAAGGGGGATATGATCACCATGATAATACATAAAGGGGATATGATCTCCATGTATAATACATAAGGGGGGATATGATCTCCATGTATAATACATAAGGGGGGATATGATCTCCATGTAAATACATAAGGGGGGATATGATCACCATGTATAATACATAAGGGGGGATATGATCTCCATGTATAATACATAAGGGGGGATATGTTCTCCATGTATAATACATAAGGGGGATATGATCTCCATGTATAATACATAAGGGGGGATATGATCTCCATGTATAATACATAAGGGGGGATATGTTCTCCATGTATAATACATAAGGGGGGATATGATCTCCATGTATAATACATAAGGGGGATATGATCTCCATGTATAATACATAAGGGGGGATATGATAACATGTATAATACATAAAAGGGGGATGATCTCCATGTATAATACATAAGGGGGGATATGATCGCCATGTATAATACATAAGGGGGATATGTATATAATACATAAGGGGGGATATGATTCGCCATGTATAATACATAAGGGGGGATATGATCTCTATGTATAATACATAAGGGGGGATATGATCTCCATGTATAATACATAATGGGGGATATGATCTCCATGTATAATAATAAGGGGGGATATGATCTCCATATAATACATAAGGGGGATATGATCTCCATGTATAATACATAAGGGGGATATGATCTCCATGTATAATACATAAGGGGGGATATGATCTCCATGTATAATACATAAGGGGGGATGATCACCATGTATATCATAAGGGGGGATATGTCTCCATGTATAATACACAGGGGCAGACTGACCATTTGGGAACTTGGGCACTGCCTGAGGGCCTGGGGTCAGTAGGGGGCCCCATGAGATGCCCCTGGTACCTTTTCATAAGCTTTTTTGGGTGTGGTTTAAGTGTGGGGGCGAGGACACTGGGGCCCATGATCCCCTATTGCCCGGGGCCCCATGAGTTGTCAGTCCGCCACCTGATAATACATAAGGGGGGGATATGATCTCCATGTATAATACATAAGGGGGATATGATCACCATGTATAATACATAAAGGGGATATGATCTCCATGTATAATACATAAGGGGGGATATGATCTCCATGTATAATACATAAGGGGGGATATGATCTCCATGTATAAATACATAAGGGGGGATATGATCTCCATATATAAATACATAAGGGGGGATATGATCTCCATGTATAATACATAAGAGGGATATGATCACCATGTATAATACATAAGGGGGATATGATCACCATGTATAATACATAAGGGGGGGGATATGATCTCCATGTATAATACATAAGGGGGGATATATGATCACCATGTATAATGCATAAGGGGGGATATGATCACCATGTATAATACATAAGGGGGGATATGATCACCATGTATAATACATAAGGGGGGATATGATCTCCATGTATAATACATAAGGGGGATATGATCACCATGTATAATACATAAGGGGGGATATGATCTCCATGTATAATACATAAGGGGGGGATATGATCACCATGTATAATACATAAGGGGGGATATGATCTCCATGTATAATACATAAGGGGGGATATGATCACCATGTATAATACTATAAAGGGGGATATGATCACCATGTATAATATATAAAGGGGGATATGATCACCATGTATAATACATAAGGGGGGGATATGATCTCCATGTATAATACATAAGGGGGGATATGATCTCCATGTATAATACATAATGGGGGATATGATCTCCATGTATAAATACATCAGTGGTTCATATAGTGAACTCGGTGTAGAGTTATTCACCCTGAGGTCATCACAGAGGATAAGGGGGAGCTCTTTACATCTGGAGGAAAAGAAATGTAATCTCCAAACACGGAAAGGTTTCTTCACAGTAAGAGTTGTGAAAATGTGGAATAGACTCCCTCAAGAGTTGGTTCTGGCCAGCTCAGTGGATTGCTTTAAAAAAGTCCTGGATTCTTTCTTGGATACACAGAATATAACTGGATATAACATTTATAGGTAAAGTTGATCCAGGGAATATCCGATTGCCTCTCGGGGGATCAGGAAGGAATTTTTTTCCCTGCAGGAGCAAATTGGACCATGCTTTGCTGGGTTTTTTTGCCTTCCTCTATGTCAACTGTGGCCATAGGATTAGAACTTTTTTTTTTTTTTTTTAATGGTTGAACTGGATGGACTTTTGTCTTTTTTCAGCCAGACTAACTATGTAACTATGTAACAAGCACTCAGAGTCTTTTTAGAAACAGAAACATTTTATAGAATGATCCTCTGCCCCGGGCAATGCCTATTTATACTACCAGGTCTGACTCCTGACTTCTGGCTGCTGATCATTAACCCCCCCCCCCCTCTACTTTTGACATTAACCATTTCATTGCTGACCAGTGCTCTGATAGTGCCAATATCTTACAGTTTAGCTCAAAAAACAACAATGCTTTGCTTTACCTTACTGCAGCCCGGCTCAATAAGCGGCCTTTGGTCATGATCATTTGGCAAAGGTTTTCTCTTGCAAAGATAAGGGAACTTCTTTTCACACATCTTATCTGCCCAATGACCTTCCTAAACAGAAGGTGAAAAAAATATTTAGAAAACAAATGCATCCTAATGATAGAAATTTGTCCTAAATATGGGAGTAACACGGTCAGAAAGATGGACTTTCAAGCACAACCAGCATATCTTAATATCAGTCTATTGTAATCCACTAAATGGTAGAATTTAGTCTGGGAGGGGGAGCACAGGACATGCGCTGACATGAATCTGTATGGCAGGGGTTTTATAATTATCAATCAGATGCTGCACCCGCAGGGCTCTAATGAGGAATGTGGCAGGGTCTGCATCCCTTTAGACATGATTTCCCTTTGGGAATATCTCACCAAAAATGAAATTTTTGTTGCAGGGGATGCCAAAAATCTGACTTTTATCTTGCAGACTTCTGGAAACATCAGTGAGCCAATCACACAAGCAGGAATTGCCGTTTTCAGGGGCATTCTGTACACATTTGTGTACAAAATTTCTCCAGGTATCCATATTACATTGCATTTTACTGAAAAACACAGTGTTGCAGACTGAAAGATAAGGAAAGATCATTTATAATAACATTAAATTACAATATGAATTGAGTCCCAATTGTATACACTACCAGTATTTTTTTTTTTTTTTTTTTTTATTATTTGCTAATTATTTTCCCACGAAAGTGGAGTTACCCCTAACCCTAAATTCACACCTAAGCGTTTTCTGCAGCTTTTTGCAGAAACGCAGTACGGTCCATTTAACATGATTTCCTATGGGACAGATTCACATCTCCACGTTTTCACCCAATGCGTTTCTTGGAAAGGGTCAGGGACTTTTTTGAAAGCAAAAAGTTGAATTTATGTTTCTATAGATCTCAATGGAAATGTTGCAGAAAAGCATGTATTGCGTTTTTCATGCGTTTTTGCTGCGCTTTTGATGAGTTTTTGATTCATTTTGCATCTCAAATCTGTCTAGCAACGAGGAAAAAAAACCCGCAAAAACGCAATACAGAAACAGCCCAAACGCAACCTGCATAGACTTAAGAAATTATGGTAGTGGTTAGAATGGCTGCCTGGCAGCACTGTGGTCACTGGTTCAAATCGAAGCTCATACACTAGCAGCCTGCAGCTTGCATGTTGTGCTTGTATTCCTCCCACACTCCACTCAAACCCGATCATCAAAATATATATTTAATATTTAACAGAATAATATAATTTCAAAAGTAAGTGGCTAAGTGGTTAGCACTTCCACCTGGCAGTACTAGGGTCATCGGTTCAAATCCCAACCACGGCACCACCTGCCTGGAGTTGCAAGTTCTCCCTGTGCCTGTGTGGGTTTCCTCCAGGAACTTCAGCTTCCTCCCACACTCCAAAGACATGCTGGTAGGTTAATTGGCTCCTGTCTAAATTGTGCTTCTGTGTGTATGTATGAATGTGAAATGGGGATCTTAGATTGTACGCTCCTTGAGGGCAGGGACTGATGAGAATGTACAATATATAGGTAAATTGTGGGTACTATAAAAACACAATATACACTCACCGGTCACTTTATTAGGTACACCTGTTCAATTGCTTGGTAACACAAATTGTTAATTGGCCAATCACATGGCAACAACTCAATTAATTTAGGCATCTAGATGTGGTAAAGACAAACTGAGCATCAGAATGGGGAAGAGAGAGAATTTAAGTGACTTTGAACATAGCATGGTTTTTGGTGCCAGGTGGGCTGGTCTGAGAATTTAAAAAACTGCTGATCTACCGGGATTTTCATATACAGCCATCTCTAGCGTTTACAGAGAATGGTCCGAAAAAGAGAAAAAATATCCAGTGAGTGGCAGCTGTGTGGACAAAAATGCCTTGTTGAGGTCAGAGGAGAATGGGCAGACTTGTATCTGTGACATTCAGTTGGTAGGGTCAGAATTTGGAGTAAACAACATGAAAGCATGGATCCATCCGGCCCTGTGTCAATGATTCAGGCTGGTGGTGGGGGTGTAATGGCGTGGGCGAGATTCTCTTGGTACTAGTAAGGTCTTCCTAATAAAGTGGCCAGTGAATGTATGTCAATATTCCCAGGGTATGACACACCTTGGTATTTAAAGCCACGCAGTCCTCCTGTTTGTTCGTGAAGTGTGAAGGTTCTCCTCTCTGCCACACTGTATAATACACGGGGGTGCCATCGCTCCACTCAAAAAATAGCTGGGTCTTCAAGTCGTTCAGTCCGAGCCAAACAAACTCTGCGCTTTCTGCAAGACAGAATTCAGGGAGTTCAATCATTTCTAAAAACTTGATGCGGCATTAGCCATGCGGAAACTGAAGAAGAGAAGATGGAGCCCTGGTGCCCAACCTCTGGCCTGAAGGACCACATTCAGCCCTTAGCTACTTATTCTTCCCTGTTCTATCCAAACAATTCAGAGGCATACGTGTAGGAGATCACCGATGTGTAGGAAGGAGTTATTCTGGACTGCCCTTATGGCCTAAGTCTATGTGAACCCTCACCTTATATTATTATTATTATTATACAGTATTTATAAAGCGCCAATAGTTCGCTCAGCGCTGTACATTACAGAGGGGGACAGAACATGTGACAGAACAATACCAATACAATGCAAAACATGAGGGGATCGAGGGCCCTGCTCTTTCGAGCTTACAATCTAGGAGGGAGGGGATGGTGGTACAGGAGGAGATAGCTGTGGGGGATGGAGTGGTAGGAAGAGTGGAGGAGGTCGGCAAGTTAGCAGGGGGTGGGGTAGGCTTCCCTGAAGAGATGGGTTTTCAGGGTGCGCCCAAAGGAGAAGAGAGTAGGTGATAATCTGATGGGTTGGGGCAGGGAGTTCCAGAGGATGGGTGACACCCTGGAGAAGTCCTGGAGGCGGGCATGGGAGGAGGAGACCAGGGAACTAGAGAGAAGGAGTTCTTGTGAGGAGCGGAGTGTGTGTGCTGGGGCGGTACTTGGATATTAGGTCAGTGATGTAGTACGGGGCAGTATGGTGGACAGCTTTGTACGTCAGTGTTAGGATTTTGAATTTGATCCGTTGCGCAATAGGAAGCCAGTGGAGGGATTGGCAGAGGGGGGTGGCGGAGATGGAGCGGTTGGTAAGGTGAATGAGTCTGGCAGCCGTTTTCAGGATCGACTGAAGCGGGGATAGCCAGCGGCGAGGCAGGCCAGTGAGGAGGGAGTTGCAGTAGTCGAGTCGTGATATGATGAGGGAGTGGATGAGCTGTTTAGTGGTTTCTGGGGTTAGGAACGTGCGGATTTTGGCGATGTTGCGGAGGTGGAGTCTGCACGAGTTTGTTAAAGATTGGACTTGGGGCTGGAAGGATAGGTTGGAGTCCAGAATGACACCAAGTACTCTGGCCAGTGGGGCGGGTTTGATGGTGGCGTTGTTGGACATGATGGAAAAGTCAATGAGGGGTGGGGTCCAGGCTGGGGGGAAGACAAGAAACTCGGTTTTGGAGAGGTTCAGTTTAAGGAAGTGGAGCGACATCCAGTCTGATATGACCTTATAAAACAACCAATTCCATTGAAAATAGAAATGAAAGGCAAAACATTTTGTATCTACATATAACGCAAGATATAAAGCGAGCGTAGAGAATAGGGCAGCTGATAGCACAATAAAGGCAAGGTAACAAACCCACAAATATCAATACAAATGTAAGTGCAGTGCTAAATATAAGTGTCAAATGCAATCATAAAGTGCTTATGTGAATAAAGTGGTCATATGATATCCAAGTGACATAAACCTAATAAAACATCTCAGATCATATAAAATCTCTGCAAATCTGCACATAAATAGTCCGTGGCACTACAGGTCACAGAAGTGCCAAGTGAAGTGATGAGTGCTTTTCAGCAATAATCGTGATTATGAATAGTCCGTGGCACTAGAGGTCACAGCAATTTGTGGAACACTCAGCAATACCCGGTATTGCTGCACCTTGTAGTTCCACGAACACCAGGCACTGCTGTGACCTGTAGTGCCACTGACTATGCATAATATGCGGCCCCACAGTAAAAAACCCCTGTTCTGTGAGGCCGCATATTTGTGTGATGTTGGTGTCAAAGAGGTTACTAAAACAATCAAGACCATGGTCTGTTTCTTGTTTCTGGATGCGAGTGGAAAATGCATGTTGTCTGGCTGTGCAGGAAGTAATGGGGGACCAAAGACAAGCAGCTCTCAAGAGAGTAGCGCTACATAATGAGAACAGGTTATATTTAAAAATACATTATTATGTTGATTAAGGGGACAGGAAAAAAAACAGGTAAGGCAAATATGTAAGCAGATTAGTAACTTTTTTTTTTTCATTTTTTTTTTCGCGCTGCAATTGGAGAGTTCCCCTCACTTCCTGTCCGGTAAAACCTCTATCACCAGGGCAGTATGGGGACATTTCTTTAAGGAAACTGTAGCAGTAAAAACAGGACAGAGGGTAGAATTTTTTTTTCTTACTCATAACTTCTGAATAATAATAAAATAATTATTTTTTCTTTTTTGGATGTGCCAGAAATCCCACATTATAAGCAACCACCCAGATATTAGAATCAGAAATTCTAACCTATTCAGTGGCAGTGTCTTCCATGGCAGAATAAGAGAGGACAGATCAGTATTACTCACCAAACTCAAATTGAGAGTTAACAAAGCCGGAATCTCCAATATTGTGCAAGCTTGCGAGGTCCCCTTCTTCTTTCCTACAAGACACCATGGCATCCTTCCATATCTTTGCTTCCTTATGCAGTGAATAACAATAGCCAGCATAGGGGATCCAGGTAGGAGGGCAATTGATGGGCTCAGTATCTGTGACACAATATCAAAATAGTTCATTTTAGTAAATAATTGGGTTTTGTGCAATTTTATTACTCATTATTTAAAAGTTTTGTTTTAGGATAGAAAAGCTGCCGCTGCAACCGTAATCTTGCAAATACTACTTGCTGTCAGGAAGTTTAAATACATACGCCGATCAGAAAGTAACTGAAAAAATTGTTTAACTTTACATATACTTTCA